CGCTTCCATGTCTGTTATTGCATCAGAAGGCACTGATCTTTCCTAGGATATGCTTACAAACTCAGCCTAAGTAATTAAAAATAATAATTGCAGTTGCTTTGTGATCTTGAGTGAATCACCTTGAGTAGAAGTCAAGGAGGTTACTTATTTCCTCAGAATAGATTACAGTCAGTCTCACTGAGTGGATGTTTATGTCTTGAGGATCTCTGCTGAGACTTGCTGCTATAGTTAGGTAACTTGTAAGCAGTTTTACAGCTGAGGCTGCCAGTTCTGTTTTTACTAAGGTAATTAATAAAATGCCTGGCCCAGCTCAGTGTTTAGGAAAGTTTGGATATGTCAGATGAATTACACCTGTTACAGCTGCTCAACCTACTGCTTATGGTCTAGTAGTTTCAGTGCAGCGAAAAGAACCACAGCCAAGAATTATTTGGGAGGGAATTGGTAAACTTGATGGAGAGAGTAGGACCAAATATGTACTTGCCATCTGCACCTATGTGAGACAGCTCTCCAGGGTAAGAAAGGTAGGAATGTAGTAATGAGAGTAACAGCTCTGGCCAGAGGCTGCTGTCAGCTCCAAATCTACTTAAGGCTGTTGCAGAGGCTGGGTGGAAGAAGCCATTAAACTGACATCTTGGCTAGGGGCATCAGAACGTCTTGCTACAGCTTTGGGTAAAATTGGCACTGACCAGCATGTCGCTTTTAATTTGACCTAGCTCATAACTGACAAGATCTGTTTTGATCAAATGATGAATTTTAGTTTCGGGAGGTCACAATAGATCTTTGCTTGGGCTGAGTAACGTTTCACTCTGGAAGAAGTTGCACTGGAATCAGCAGACACTTTTCAGATGAGGGGCTATTCAGAAAAGTATGTCTGGATAAAACAGTGGCCGTTTGTAGGTGTAATGTTGCTGTAGAAGCCCTGTGAAAATCAAAAGTATCCAGCTGGCTTCCCCAGCACTCCCTTTTGCTTACCATAGGCAGGATGATCTGGTTCTTCCTGGTTCTTACCAGAGTGCCCCAGGCTGGGACCTGGGGACGTGTCTTTTACATACTGCATTGCCATGACATGCAGAGTTTGCAGGGTGGAACTACATCTTTGTCATTTCACTTTGGGCAAAAAAGGCCAAATAGCTGCTGCACTCAGTAGACTGTGTGCCACATCTGCTCCTTTCTGTATCTCCCTTAGCCTTTTTGTCCCTGCCTTTACTGGTTTTCCTTCCAGTTTAATGATTTTATTAGGCAGCAGCATCAGAAGGTGCTTGAGAGCACATTGATAAACATAGCAGGAGAAACACAAACCTAGTTGAAAATTGCCCTTTGTATTGGCAGTACAAACAGTGGAGATCTGAATGGGGGTTACTGCCAATCCTTAATGCATCCTTAATGCTGCTTTCAGGGCTGGGGGAGTGTTGACAAAGATAATAAATTAATTACTGTTTATAAAGGTCATAGGTGATACCATGGTAGCACTGCAATAATTTTTTTAATGAATTGATATTAAAGTAGTAGGCATTGATACTGAATCAGTACTCCTGGCATTAGTCACCTGGCCTTGCTCTGCTCTCTTTGTGTGGGTTCTTCTGAGCACCTGGTTTCCCCCCTGCTGGTGCTGCTTGAACAGCACCACAAAATGCTGGGGAAGGACTTTGGGGCTGAGTTAAGCCAAAATGGTCTGTGGGCCAGGTGAGATGTTGTATAGGGCGTCCTATCACTCAGGGACTTAGAAGAGGTTGAGGGTGTTGGCAATACTCAATACTTCATGCTGCAGACGACGCTGTGGGATAGAGTACTCCAAGGATGGGTTCTTCATCCTCTCCCCTGCCATCCCCCTCCGTGGGAAGTATTGCAGCACTTGATGATGTCTTGACATGAAAAGCATTTGGATTTTGAAAGATTCAGGTGGTTTTGCAAACTGTTAATTTGCACTGCTTGGTAAAAAGAGGGAGAAAAAACACAATAGAATTAATATGAGGGAAGAGCCTTGAGAAAGTAATGGCCAACAAAAATCTTAAATGCATCTCCTGAGAGCTTAACAGGATTATAAGGATCAGTAAAATTGCCTTTTTTGCTTGTTTAATCATTTTTGTCCTACTAACCTGGGCAGCTTAGCCTATATTTGAAGTCTTCTGCAGGGTATTCCTACTGTTTGAAAAAAGTGTTATGGGTCAGGTGTCATAGAATCATAGAATGGTTTGGATTGGAAGGGACCTTAAAGCTCATCCAGTTCCAACCCCCCTGCCATCAGCAGGGAGACCTTCCACTAGACCAGGTTGCTCAAAGCCTCATCCAACCTGGCCTTCAACACTTCCAGGGAGGGGGCATCCACAACTTCCTTGGGCAACCTAATATTGTGTCATACCTGATATTGCTGAGTCGAGTGTTCACAAAATGTGTGAATGAAAGCTGGTTTCCCTAAATACTGAAGAAGGTGAGAGACAGCAGGTGGGCTCCTTGTTCAGAGCACGCAGCCCCAGGAAGCTCCGTGATTCAGAAACGATTTGCTTCCTTTCTGGATAAGCATCATAACTCCCTACCTCTCTAGGCTTCCTGCCTTCAGCCTGAAATCCAGTCCAGTGATTTCTGTTTGTGACTGCAGAAAGTCCCCAGTCCCTGGGGCTGTGAGCTAAGCAGTGTAGCCTACTGCTCTGAGCCTTGGGCACTGCTGTGTGACCGCCCGTCATGCAGGAGTACCCAGCGTAGGAGTGACTCTGGATCTACGACCCTCTTTGGTATTAACCACTAGAGCATAACAGTGTGCTTGTATTTGCTCTCATTTTACTAAATTATCACTCACATAATGGAGACTCTGTCCAAGGCTCTCTTGAACCCCAGATCTCCAAATCTGGAGAATTTGGAGTTGTCAAAACTGGCTCAAAGAAAAGCCCAATTGCTCTTAAGTGAGCGTGTTTCTTCACTTGTGGCTGCAGCTTGCTTCTGTCTCCATATGAGCTTGTGGGCCTGTGGGAAGAACCAGGTTAAAATCCTTCACCATCCTTGAAGTTCTTTGTTAACCCCAATGAGTTTAGGAAACCGTTTTATAGTGCTGCCTTTCAGCTAGGTGTGCTACGACCTAGTTGAGAAGGTCACAAACTGAGGCATGAAAGCAGAAATGAACACAGAGATGGGAGCTCTAGGGGATGAGACTCCATATGATAATTCTGGTCCCCAGGTCAGTTTATTGTAAAGATAATTACCTTAATGAAAATGACCTGGGATGAGACAGAAGCCTTGACTTCAGGGAGAGCTGTTAATACCACAGGCAGTAGGAGTTCTTTAGAAGCTGTGATTCTGTCCAGAGATAAAGTCAAGGATATAACTGTGTTGTACATCCTCACCTAAGCCCCACTGACATCCTGCTCCTGCGTTAAGTGTTCTCCTGAGCTGAGTTTTGCATTGTGGGTAATTGCAAACACTTTTTTTGTGGCTTTTATTTTGATCCACGCTCTTCTGTGGTATCTTCTTTTCCAAAGTGCATGATAAGAGTTGTCAGGTAAAATTAATTTTTATTTTCAGGGCACCATTAAGTAGTGCTTTTCACATGGGAGCATTCACTGTCAGCAGGATAAAGGGTACTGTAAAGAGTTATGAAGAGTAATTGTTGTTTCATCAGATTATGTGTTAGTTCAACCAGGCTAATGCACTGTAATATCTGAACAAGCCCTGTAATTGGAGATAGTTTGAAATAAGCTTTTAGCTATTCATGTGCTACAGCTCTTAAGTTAATTTCATATCTAAACCATTAAGGGGACAAAAAAAAAACCCACCAAAAAAAACCCCAGAGCAAAAACCAAACCACCTCAAACCAAAACCAAACCAACCGATCAATAAAAAATAAGATATTATTCATTAAAGACATCTTGAAAATCAGGTTGTTCTTTTTCAAAAGCTTGGGACTATTTTTTTCCTCATTTTGCAAAATGTGTGTTGAGTTTGAAAAGTCAGTCAGTGATGGCTCTTGCAGAACCACCTTTTTACTGCACATGGAAATCATTTGAACAATAGTCTGAAGTGCCCATGTTCCAGTCTATTCTGTGTGTACCCAACATAGAGTAAAATTTCACCTGGGGGCCTGTAATCAGAGTCATTTCTTTCTGACTCTTGTTAAGAAGGAAAATGGAGCTTTGAATACAATTCTTTGTTGAATTCTTCCTTGCCTCTCTGACCAGCACAGTTTAAATGCACAGGTGGTGTAGAAAGAGAATGGAAAGGATGGATCAAGACTCTGCCCACTTCATAGCCTTCTCCAGTTGTTTAGCACCTATCTGTGTATAAAAAGGGGACTTACACGGCCAGAGATGCTACTTTCCTTCTTCCACTGCTGTTCTTTAGGATGATTCACACCATACAAGCTACTATCAAGAAAATTAACTCAATCCCAGCCAAAACCAGTACAAAAATCTATGCTGCATTTCTGCAGCTAGTCATGTCTTGTAAAAATCTCTGCAGTTAATCATGCAGAGAAACAGTTAATTAGCCTACTTTGCTAATGGGATCTTTCTAGGAAAATGTGAATGAAAAAGCTAGTGTGACCCAAGTAATCTGCTGACTCTGATCTCTCACACTGCTTTTATGCATTAAAGGAAAATCAGTGTAACATATCTACTTAGTTGTGAGGGGGATTAGTTTCTGATGATCTCCTTATGTTCTGAGGAGCATAATTGGGTGTTTCTGAAACTTGTATAGATGTCTTAATCTAAATGTCCGAGAAGTTTTCATCTGCTAATTTTCTGTTTTTACACTTTGTACTGCTTCCTCCACTGAACAGTGCTTCAAAATCTGCTAACTACTGCTGGTGTAAGCAGCACTGTGTATGTGTGCACACACAGCATGAATACTTTGCCAGCTATTTAGCAGTAGCTGTCCTTTATCTGTTCTGTCATTACATATTCCTGCAGGTAAAATATTACATTTGTCCATGTTCACTGATGCAGAATCATTTTTAAATCAGTCTGACTTAATTATTTTTATACATTTCATATTTTGTCTTCATCTTCCTTCAGGCTTCCGACTTGATTATCACTCCAGCTACGACTTTCAAGGAAAAACCAGACCCCAGTGGTTTGGTATTTGGAACTGTGTTCACTGATAATATGCTGACAATTGAATGGTCCATGGCTTCAGGATGGGAGAAACCTCATATTAAGCCACTTGAGAACCTTTCGTTGCATCCAGCCTCCTCATCTCTGCATTATGCTGTAGAAGTGAGTACTGAATTGATTTGGAAGCTGCTGTTTTGTTTCATTAGCTCTTGAAGCTATAGCTTTGTAATCCTGTCCTATTACTATTTATTAGTATTGAGTAAGATTTTTGTTTTGTTAACTGATATCCTTCCAGAATAATTCCATTATTTAAAAGGGGGTTATGTTTATGTTGGTGTAACTCAGAAGCAACTCTGATCTGTGGATTTTAGCTCACTTAACTTTCTAGATTAGCAAAGGTGAGCCCTTCCTTGTGTGGTGACAAATTCATTTAAGAAAGCATTCTAGTTCACTGACAGTGGATCAATCCAACTACTGTCTCTGATGCAACTTTCAGTGAACCACTGGATAAGACCATGTGAGATTCCAAGAGTAGCTTTAATTTGGGGATTGAACAAGCACTTTGAGTGTTATTTTAAGCTGTTTTAAAGTTTCATAGCTTGGATTGCAGGATGGACTAGACAGATGCTTGTTTGTAACTCCAAACAGCTCTGGAGAGCTCCAAACTAGATCTGATGCATTCAGCATATTCAAGTGTATTTAAGCAGAGAATATACAGCAAGGAACTTTGGAAAGTGAAATGTTAAGTCGGAAACCAGCGTGGTTAACAGTTTCCGTGCTTAGCTGCTTACTGTCTAAAGCTGCCTTTTGTGTCTCCAGAGCAGCTTTGGCTGTACTCACATCCGTGTGAGAGCCTTGTTAGGGCACGTATGCTGAAATGGAAGCCTGCTTCTCCTCCCACTTCTGGGTAGGTGGGAGTGTCTCCACTGAAGTTAGTGGAGTTGCTTGTGCTTCTTTTATTTTTTTTCCTTTTTATTTTTTTTTTTTTTCCTAACCACTAGTATAAGGAAAGGATCAAGCTTTTCCCTGCTTGCTGACCCTGCCTTCACCATTTTTTGTTGTTGCTGTTTTTTCCACATCTAGTCACCAAGCCTCCAAAGGTCCTGTGTAAATTGCAACAGGCCCCTGTGACTAAGGCTGCAGCTCTTGATCTGCCTACGAAGTAAGAAACCACGCTGGAGTCCCAAATCTATATTTCACTCTTAGTAGCATATTGCTTTAATGCTTGGCCTCTGGCCCAGTCTGAAATCATTGCTAATACAAATATGCTCTTTTTTTTTTTTTCCCCATTTTTTTTTTATTCTTTTACCCTTATTGCATCACGTTTCCTCTAGCCAAGAGGACAGACAGAGGAGAATCTGGTGCCAATGCTGTGGCTCAATGAATACACAGTGGGTATAATAAAAATGATGAATTTGGCATTCCCTCCCCTTTCTCCTTGCCCTCCATGATGCAGTGTGATAGTCTGGATCTGCTGAACTCCAGATCCAGCTGCTGTGATGTGCAGATATCAGATAATATTGTTTGCACACCACTGTAGCAACCAACCATCAAGCAACCACAGCAGTTGCTTTTATTCAAGTTGAGCATTTCTGGAACACATCACTGTCTCCTTTTTAATGAGTGAAAGGTTTTACTGAGCTCTGGAAGGTTAAAAGTATTTCTTTTTTGGAGAAAAAGATTTAACAGCTTGAGAAGGCTTTGTGTTTCAGTAATGGTGTGATTCTTACTTCTCTCAAACCATTGATCAAATCTTAGTAGTAACATTCCTTCCTTTTCCCTCTCATTAAAAGTTCTGTGAATGTATTTGGGAGAAGGGGTGGGGGGAAAACAACTGTTCTGTGATAAGAAAGTAGCATTACAGAAATGTGGTATTAGTTAATAATTGGTCCAATAAGAATCATACCAAAATATCAACCTTATCACCAGCTATGCCATCCTATATTAAAGACAGAATTTTTTCCTTGTAGCTACAATATTTATCCTAGGGACAGTTTCTTTTTTCAAAACTGTGTACAAAGCTTTTAATAAGGTTGACATTGCCATAGAAATAAGATAAAATTTGAGGGCTAAATATTCTGGGTTCTAATTCTGGGTCTGCTACATAGTTGGCACGTATTCTAAGGAAAATTGCCGAGATTCCTTCAACCCAGTTACAACCCAATTAAAGTTTGTCATGTGCAGGGACCTAGCTCTGTCATGGGACTGCACAAAAACTTTCTAAACATTGTATTTCACTGATCCTTATGGGAAAATGATATAGAATTTAATGATAATAAAATCTTGACTATTCTACTGAAATTACTTATACATAAAATCTTTAAAAACAAAACAAAAACCCCCCAAAAAAACAAAAACCAAGAAAACCTGCATATGTAGACTTCCAGCCATGTAGAATGTATTTCCAGCCATTTTTTGTGGAACAGTTGGGAGGAGAAATCTGATGAAACTGATAGCAGTGCTGCAGTTAAATTCATAGAACTTACACTGAAAATTAATGTACAAAGAAATACTTCAGAAAATAAATTCTAAGAATCTGAGCTCTTGTCTATAAGCATAAGTGATTCTTTAATACTTAATCTAAATAAGACTTGTGTATATGTATATATATTAATGTGAGCTTATATAATACATGTGTTTTCTATCTATAACTATAACTGGAAATTTTCAATCTGTGACGGAAAATAGCCATGGATATTTTTGTGGGTGTATGTTTTTTTGCTGTGGTTAGTAGATGCTGTAGAGCATTCTGGTGGGAGGGCACTGATGGGATAAGGTTTCCTGGTAAATTGATCATCAACACCAGTCATCTGGATTCTGCAGTTTGATGGAATAATTATGACTAATTTAAGTTTCCTGTAAAGTATAGATATTTTCATGCATTCTTCCTCTAGTGTAAGACTGATGCATTTGTCTCTCATGCTAGCTAAACCCCCTTCCACAGTGCTGGGCTAAGAGACCAAGATTTTGCTACAACTATAGCAAGAACTACAATGGAGTTCCCTTAATTACCTTTTTCTATGCTTCCTACCAAAATGCATTTTGGACAGAGCCCTAAAAATGATTACCATATATAATTAAATTCTATAGATCTTTTCCGTAAGGGAGAATCCTGTTTTGCCTCGGCTTTAGGTATAGGTCAGAATGTGAGGGAATAGTTAAGTCAAACACATGCTACAAATTTTAATTGTTGTAACCAAATTATGAAAAAAATGGTTATCAGTAAGTCCCCTGACAGAGAAAATTTATCTAAAGCAAAGGAAGGTTGTCTGTGTACTATAAACTTTGTAATGCCACCTCACAGGAGTGAGTGTGATGCAAGGATTAACTAGTTTGCATTTATGCTTTGAGTACTGTGAGCAGGAAAGTGAAGCTCTCTTTTTTTTCCAAAGGGTGTGTTCTGCTTTTGCACAGATCACTATGGGATAATATGTCTCAATTATTATTTGATTTCTTTTCCCTCCTTTTTGACTTGGTAGTTGTTTGAAGGAATGAAGGCTTACCGAGGAGTGGATGGCAAAATCCGACTGTTCCGGCCAAACCTCAACATGACCAGGATGGTGCGATCAGCAAGACGAGCAGCTCTGCCAGTATGTAGCCAAGGCACCTTATTCTCCTAAAGTCAGAGTGTGTTTTCATTTTCAGAGTGCAAATCTCTGAAGCTTTATACTAGTGTAACATTTATCAAACGCTCTAACTCTTGAATAGCTAAACTTTGAGATCTTATTCATTGAACTGTTTGAAATACATTTTTTTTTTTTTCTTTTAAATCACAACAGTGTTTTGCTTTCTTTGTTGTCTCCCTACTGCCTCAGATGTACACAGTCTGTTTCTGAGGTGTGAACGCTGTTCTGCAGGTATTTGCCTGCAGACAGCTGACGAAATTGTTTTGGCCCTAATGTTCTTCCTTTTCTTCTTTCCACTTCAGTTAAGTCCTTCAACCTCTGAGTGCCTTCACTTTTCGGTCATGCTAGCAACTTAACACTGCTTTTAGCAGTTGTGTATTGGCCAGTGAACTTCCTCTCATACTTATTAGCTTTATAACTGTAAGAACTTTGTAAAACTGGGAGATTTGGTGGGAGTTATAACCCAAAGCACTCTTCTCCAGAAGAGGTGGTGCCATAGCTTGCAGCATGCCGAAGTGAAGGTGTTGGCTGCACAGAGGGATCTCTCCATGTGCTTTTCTGCCTTTGCTTTTCCTTCCCAGTGTTTTGACCAGAATGAGCTGTTAGAGTGCATCCGGAAGCTTGTGGAAGTGGAAAAGGAGTGGGTCCCGTACTCAACCGCTGCCAGCCTGTACATCCGTCCTACCTTAATTGGAACTGAGGTGTGAAACTTCCCCCCCTCTCCCCCCCTCCTTTTAACTTATGTATATTTAAGCATGAGGCAAAATCCTCCATCCATAAAGAGAAATATGTCGCAGTCACTGACGATAGTATTACAGTTCAAGGGCGAATTGTTTCTCTGTTTTAACTTCGAAGTGAGTCACCTGTAGCTCTACTTCACAAATTTCTGTTGGCCACAACACCACCTAGTGGGCACATTGATTCAGATCACAGAAAGTAAACTTCGATTAACTGTTCAGAGTGGTAATGGCAAAATTTAGATTAACTTTGGTTTTGTACTGAAAGGATAGTTATTTATGACATAGTAATGTTTGCCTTTAAAATACTAATAATCCGGAGAAAATGTGAGGGAATAGAAATTTGTTGTGTGGATTTGGTGATTCATTTCATACCTCCACTCTGACCTTAGTGAGGAGGTTTTAGATTTTAGCCAGTAAATTAAGATGGCTCATCTGAGAGAGAATTTTAGCAGAACTAGGAACAAGTTCTTGTGTCAATTTATTCCTGAACTTTGATAAACCTGACCTTATAAGAGGCTCCTTTGCAACTAGGTGTTGCAAACTCTGTGAGTTTCATGTGGGTGTCAGTCAAGCCTATAGTATTTATAAAGGGAACTGGAAACACAAAGTTTACTTTAATTAAAACTTTAAGGGGTTTTTTGTAGCAGTGGTAAGAGAGAAACCTGTAATGGTAGAGCATAGGATAAGGAAACTAAAGATTGTATGGTTCCCAGCTAGGAACCCTAGCTTTTGCAGTTTCCACATCTGTAAGTAGTTACCATACATGAGCATTATACATTTCATGTGTGTTCTAGGACTCCATCAGTTTAATGCTTGTAAACTAGTTGCAGATTTTCAGATGGAAGGATCTCCACTCAGTGACTATAAAGTATTAATACTAAAAATTGAATTTTTTTCCCCTGTTTTTGGTTTTGGAAAGTCTTTTACTGTTGAACTTTGTTTCCAGTTAGCCAACATCTGGCCTTTCCATAATGTCATATGTTGTCTCTGGGTTGCATGTCCTGCTGATCTTTTATGAATCAGCACAATTGGGAAAGCCAGTCAGCACAATCTTTTGAACTATATGTAAGAATCGGGGAAAAATATCAAGATCTCAGTGAATTAATCTTTCTCTGTTAGAAGTTTTGCTGAAGGTAGACAGAAATCTAAAGAACCCACTTGGCACCTGAGGGAGGCTTATTTGAATTTTACAGTAGTTCCATTGTTACACTATTATATTCCCTCCTACCTCACAATTTAGCTTCATTTCCTTTGTGCACAATGTTTTGCTTAGACCTTTGGTCCAAAAGATTTAAGTTCAATAACTTTTTTCAATGGAGACCTGATCTTAGAAACCAAGGGTGAGCTTGTTCTTTTTACAAGACTGGTTTATCTGAGCAGAGAGAAAAAACAATAACCCATTCAGTTGCATAGAAGATCCCAAGAGTCACGGGCAACCAGCTGTACGTAGCCCTGCTTGAGCAGGAGGGTTGGGCAAGGTGATCTCCAGAGGTGCTTTCTAACCAAAATCAGATTCTATCAGTGCTGAGCTTTGTGAAGAATCATTTAGTTAAGCAGAGTCTACCACAGAATTCAGACTTTGACCAGTGCCAGGCTTTTCAACTTCACTTTTAAGTACTGATGGTGATGACTTGAAGTATGAGAAGCCATCTCTCAGAGAGGAGAAAGAAAGGAAAAAAAAGAAGTTATACATTCCAAGTTACTTCCTGTGCTGTTGTGTGAAGCATTTCCAGCAGGCAAATCATTTTAACTTGTCACACAGTCATTCACAGGGCCAGCACCCAACTCTGCCAATGCCAGTTCTAAGTGGCACTGGCTAATTCTTATCACTAATGCAGCTGACAATGGTTCCTCTGCTGTTGTCATTGCTAGCAGTGGCCCTGGCTGCTCCTCCCCACAGAATGCTTTGCAGCTTTCTGCTGTGATTAATTTGTATAATTATATACTACCTTGTTAAGATAGTTTGAGTTCTCAAAAGCTTGAAACTGTTTCAGAAGATTAGAATAATACACAGGTAAATGAAACGGCTGTAAGTGCATGGTGACAGTAAGTAAAATTAGGGTTTGTTATGTTGCTTGGATGGGGGGGGGAGGAACTTATATAAATATTTTCTCTTAATTGCAGCACTCTGCATTGTTCTGGTAAAACCACACTCAAGCTGCAGGTCCTCTGAAAGCAGTTTCAGAAGCTAATTGTACAGCATCTGATGTTTGGAGTGAAGTATACCAGTAACACTTGATTTTTATTTTTTTCTTACATTCCTTAATTTCAGCCTTCCCTTGGAGTGAAGAAGCCAACCAAAGCCCTTCTGTATGTCATATTGAGCCCTGTGGGCCCTTACTTTGCAAGTGGGAGCTTTAATCCAATATCCTTATGGGCAGATCCAAAATATGTAAGAGCCTGGAAAGGAGGAACGGGGGACTGCAAACTGGGAGGGTAAGAAAACATAATTCTACATCTTCTATGTAGCTCACAAAGGAGATCTGGTTTTTAGTGAAGTATCTAATCCAGCAGAAATAGAGGTATTAAATGTAACAGTTAAACAAACAATGTACTATAGCAAAGATTTCAAAACTGTACTCTGCAAATGTTAATTATAGAATTCAGTTGCATATTTTTGTTTGGATACTGCAGCCAATGCACTATTTGCAGAGGTAGTTTTGTAGCATCTCAAGCTAAGGGACTGGACCTGGAAGGTGTCCATGTAGTACTTTGGCTGTTGCCCTTGTAGAAGTTGACACTAAATATATCACTGCTGTGCTACAGCATTCAGTATAGTAGCCTGCTGCCAAATGGGCAGTGAGCAGCATTGACTGCTGGCCTTCCTTGTCAGACTGACCATCTGTGGTTGGCTAAGGGAGTACGAGTGTTTAAGGGAAAGCACGAGACAATTCTCTGCACTGACTTGACCGTAGTCTGGCAGTTTTCTGCTGAACTAGGCCAAAGAAACAGTTAGGTAGAAACATTATTTTTAGTGTTCAAGTATTTGACTTCTAAAATGAAACTGCTTAGGACTTGACTGGAGCAAGCAACTTGGATGTGGCTAAATAAATGACTCGGTTATACATCCTTGGTCTTTGGTTTAAACAAAGCTTATTGTCTCTACCTGGGAATGAGTTTCTTTTCCAGGTGGCAAATTAGTAGTTGTAAAGTGCTGCTCAACTGAGCTGGTGGAATAATCAAAGGGCAAGAAAACAGCTTTCCTTCATTCAGTCTTATAGTCTGAGACCTTTACTCTTTGTGAGTTTTTGCTTAGTTTTAAAATCACAGAATCACAGAATGTTGGGGATTGGAAGGGACCTCGAAAGATCATCCAGTCCAATTCCCCTGCCAGAGCAGGAACCTAAATGAGATCACACAGGAAGGTGTCCAGGAGGGTTTTGAATGTCTCCAGAGAAGGAGACTCCACAACCTCCCTGGGCAGCCTGTCCCAGTGCTCTGTCAACCTCACAGTGAAAAAGTATTTCCTTATGTTTACAGCTCACACCCATTGCCCCTTGTCCTACCATTGGGCATCACTGAGAAAAGCCTGGCTTCATCCTCCTGACATTCACCCTTTACATATTGATAAACATTAATGAGGTCTCCCCTCAGTCTCCTCTTCTCCAAGCTAAAGAGCCCCAGCTCCCTCAGCCTTTCCTCAGCAGGGAGATGCTCCACTCCCTTCATCATCTTGGTGGCTCTGTGCTGGACTCTCTCCAGCAGTTCCCTGTCCTTCTTGAACTGTGGGGCCCAGAACTGGACACAATATATTAATTGTTTCCTGTCCATCCTTCATACATCAGCTGTGAATAAAGGAATAGTCTGGAGTCACTACTGATTTGATTTGTGCCCAGCATGATCACACTCCAGTGTGATCAGCACTTTGAAGCTACTGACTTTGAGTCTTGATGGTTGTTGAACATCAGAAGCAAAAGGAGTTTTTCCCCCTTTCAAAGCAGCTACAGAGTAAACACATCCTATTTCAGTCAAGCTCACTCTGTAGGCAGCATTTTAGGAAAATAGTTGCTCCTCAAGGATATGGAATTCATCAAGGCTCATCTGCAGCTCCTGAAGCTACTAATTCTATTAATGTCTTTTATTGGAAAATAAATAACTAGCCTCTGGTGATTTTTGTGTTCCAAGAGGTCCATCTGACATATATGATATGAAGTAGGTGGTTTTGTTTTGCCTTTTTAAAAAAAACAAAACCCAAAACATGAGCTGGATGCTAATTGTTCCCTCTCCAGAACGCCAGCTGCTAAATAGATAGAAATGCTTTCCTAAGGTGTCTTAACAGCAATGAATAGAATGTTCAGAAAACGGAACAAGATGTATTTTTAAGACAATTTGCATGGATACATTTGAGCTGTTGATGCTGTTCAGTCCCTCAAAGTTTTTGGGTTGTAGATACAAATGATTTAATAAAATACTAGTAGAGTACTTCCGATGAAAATATTCTGGGGACAAGCAGTGACTGTACAGAGCACTTGCTCATAAGGTAGATTTGCACACAACCTTGCACAGGAATGAGACAATACCCGAGCAGATGCTCATACTGTTTGCTCTTTCTTTTCATTTCTGGAAGGAATTATGGTTCTTCTATTTATGCCCAGCAAAAAGCCCTGGAGTTTGGCTGCCAGCAAGTTTTGTGGCTTTATGGAGAAGATCACCAAATAACTGAAGTTGGAACAATGAATCTGTTTCTCTACTGGTTAAATGAAGATGGAGGTATAGTAACACAAAACATGAAAACTTTAATAGAGCAGACAGTTGGGACTGTAATCCACAAAATTATTATTAGAGTGCAGATCATAAACTTCTTAATGAAGATGATTTATGAAGGGAAATGTATGTCCTCTTCTGAAAACTGATAGGTGAGTGTTAGTCATACTGTTGTGAAAGAGGAGATTCTGGAGCAGCTGTGAGTACTGCCTACTGATAACATACTAAACTGTTGGCACAGTCCACACGCTCAGAAGGGTAGAGTCTGGCCATACACAAGATCACACTACAGGTTTGCTGTCAACTCTAGCAGTGTGCTTGATCTCGAAGGAGTTGTTGGGTCAGAAACAATGCACACATACTGAACTAAAGACACCTTATAGCTGTGTAACTCTTCACACTCTGTGGCTTTGGGCATGAGTGGTTCCCATCACTTTCTGGCAAGTCAAATGCTGCTGCAGCATTTCAGCATTCTACTGAGCATTCTACTGCTGAACTCTGCTCTTTCTTTGAAGAATTTGAAGTTCTGTCCAGTGGAGGCTGAGAGAAACATGTCAGTCAGTGTTCCACATCACTAATGCTCAAATGATGCTTTCAAGATACACCATAATTCTTGAAGCCACTTTTACCTCTTTGTACCCCTAGTCATCTCTGAGCAATCTACATCCTGATTAGAAAACTATCTAGTTAATGAGCAGCCAACTAATTAGGCATCTCAAAAACAGCCATTGGGCATGCAGGCATTAGTGCTCAGAGGTAATAGCTGTACCTGAGAACTGGTTTGGAAGACTACGTGACTCAGAGTCCTTAAAGAATCAAGCCAATGTATAGGCAAGTGAGCAAAAGGACACCTCCTGACTTCCATGAGTGTTGGCCCTTGGTGTAAATCAAGTGTTACTGAGTTTTTGCCTGCCAGCAGATGAGTTCTCAGTGTTGAATGAGTGTGAAGTCTTGTGAATGAAACTATAAATATGAGAAATGTTGTTGTTATAGCAGCAGCAGATTTGTCAGTGTAGCTAGATGGCCAAATTCATGCCTTGTGTAACTTCACTGGAGAGACACGATAATGGATTTTGGCTCTTTCTGCCCAGGGAAAGGACACTGAAAGGAGGACATAATTAGAATTCAATGTTCTCATTGTACTTAAACCAGGAATATGCTGGAATTATCCAGCTGCAGCACGGTACTGTTCCAAAGATCTGCCAATCACTGTGTTACTAGTGCACTACTGAATAGTACTACTGAGGTGGCTGTAGCAAACAACTTGCAATTCATGCCACCCAGGCTAACTGTACGCAGGCAAACCTGCTGTTTCACACGACGTGGTCATTAGCATCAGTGGAGCACTTTGCTGTCTCCCAGTGTGTCGATCAATGCTTAATTTATGATCTCTTTGGCTGAGAGTCACTCTTGCTGCCAATGTGTATCATCACGTACCTGCCTGTGGCTTTGCATTGTGATTTAAGAAGTGTTAGCCATTATGCTTTGTCACTTCACAAAGGATACGTGCTTAGGCTGCCGTTTTGATTTTGTTATGCAAATTCTGCAGCTGACAGAGGGATCCAACATCAAAATAGTGAGGCAGAAATTGCAGATCATCATCAAAAGGAAAATGCCCTTCTTTGTGTGTTCAGAGGTCACTGCAGAATAGTCTGAACTACTCTCCTTGGTGTATAACAAATCAAAGAGCCAGCCCAGTAAAGCCTAGAGTAATGGGTATCTTATGCTTCCAATGAGTTTAGGCTTTTCTTGCAAGCCTTTGCTCTATATTTTGAGTTGCAGCATTGTGACTGAACATGACACGTTATCTTGGGTGGCAGGAGAAGCCTGGTAAAACGTTTCATTTGTAACATTGAGAAGAGAGTGAAGGAAGAAACTGCTCTATCTCTGGTAAAATAACGTGACATGCTCTAGGCTGCTCTTGTATCCCTGCTGCTGCTCTGGCTGAGCCTTATAATATGACCTGCTATTGGTCATATCATAGAGACCAAAGGATCTCTGCTATTGCATGAATACAAGTGTGATATTTCATTCTTCAAATACTGTTTATGGTTTATGTTCACAAAGTGAAAATTTTGGCAACCTACAGCCTCTTCCACCTGCCTCTTCAGAGCACGTAACAAACCCAAGAGGCTATTAACGTTGAAAGTTCTTTTCTTTAATAATTGTTTTTCTACCTAGAACGTAGGCTTGACTTCATGAAGAAACTTAAAATTTAAACATATGTCCAACTTGAAGGCTGCTAACTACTAAATCTGTGTGTACTTTCCACAAATTCAGTTTCTTGAGAATGATTTGGAACTATCTAGGCTCTACTTTTAGCTTTAATGTTAAGGCATTGTGAATAGCATTCAAGTATTACTTAATATTTTTGTGCTGTTATTAAAATGAGGATTAATAATGCCCACTTCAAAATAGCTCACACAGATTAAAAATTAAATACGTTAAAAGATTCTCTGCAACAGTCAGGTAAAATATCAGGCACGTTTGCTTAGTGTTCTGTAGGTGGAAGATTATTTGTGCTGTAGAAGTTTCTTGTACAAGTAGACTGCTAACAAAATAAGGATCGTACTTCCTCCTGTAATAGAAAGCCATCACCATAGTGTGGAGGGGAGAGCAGCAGATGAATGAGGTGGCAGACAAAGAAGAAGAGGGGAAAGTAACTGAGGAAAGTAGATTGACAGAGAGGTGAAGACAGAATGATTGCATGAGGGGAGAATAGAAGAAAAGTCTGAGGGAAACAAAGAGAAAGAAATAGAAAGGTCCAGAACAAACCAGAAGCAGAAGTCATCTATAGTGAAATCGGGGTTTCCTGGGTTCTCCTTGACCCTGAAGTTCACTTGATATCTGTTACCAATTTGGTAAAATCTATTTTGGTAAGTTTCTCAGTTTTGTTGTAGTGTGACTAGTACTGAAGGCATCCCATGTTTGGAATCTTACCTGCTATACATTCATAGATACGAATGTGTACAAATTGAAGCTATATAGTATGCAAGACCTCATTTTAAAAAACCCTTTAGAGACACTGATGGAGTTGCATTGTTACAGCATGGCTACACCGTGCCTGGTGTCATGGGGCACTGGTCTGATAGTGCCAACACTTTAACAATGACAGAGAAACGCTGACTTTTTCCTTCAGATGCCTTTCCCCCCTTTTTTT